TGATCTCATACTTTGAAAAGGGCATAACTCTTCCCCCAAACTAAAATTAATAGAGTAACTAAAAGGCTTGTGCATATTGGAGCAGATAACGTAATCAGACACGATGGGCTAACAATGATGTTAATTATTTCCTTACTGTTAGTAATATTAGAATTCTGACATTGTAATTTTCAAATTTTTTTTTTTGTGTGTGTGTGTTCTGGGGGGTGGGATGTGGAAAAGGGGAAAAGGGGAGCATTGTTAACTCTCTGTGTAATTGTTCAATTTTGTTCTTCCTTCAATAAAAAGTCGTAGCAAATACCCTCAAGATTTGGTTTCAGTTTAGACAATGTTTTGGTTTTAAAGACTTCTCCATAGCCAGTCCTATATGCAAGAACCACCTATTCCTTCGGACTCCAATGATCTCATACTTTGAAAAGGGCATAACTCTTCCCCCAAACTAAAATTAATAGAGTAACTAAAAGGCTTGTGCATATTGGAGCAGATAACGTAATCAGACATGATGGGCTAACAATGATGTTAATTATTTCCTTACTGTTAGTAATATTAGAATTCTGACATTGTAATTTTCAATTTTATTTATTTATTTATTATAATTTGTGTGTGTGTGTGTGTGTGTGTTCTGGGGGGTGGGATGTGGAAAAGGAAAAAAATGTAAAATGTAAAATCAAGAGGAGCATTGTTAACTCTTTGTGAAATTGTTCAATTTTGTTCTTCCTTGCCTATGTACCAACATATAATATACACTTTCGTTTAGATAATCAGAAGACAAATTCAAAGAGACCAAACATGGTATCGGTGGGGTTATATTAACTAAAAAAAAATTGTGTGTCTGATTGGTCCAGACACTACAGTAGGATTAGGGATGTAGAATATGTTAATGCAGAATATGTGCTTTATAAGTACTAATAAACAGCCAATAAGTTAATAATAGGCATGCTAGTAAGCAACTAGTTAATAGTGAGAAATGGTCCCTATACTATAAGTGTTACCCAAAACTCTTTGCATTGTAAATAAATATTCTATGCATTTCCCAAAATATATGGGTGTGTAATGAAAAGTGTTTAAACTGCATAGAATATCTATTTTCAATGCAAAGAGTTTTGTTATCAATCACTTAATTTTTGTAATAAAAAAAATTATTAGCAAGAGTTTTTATATGGAATCTTTTATTTATTTATTTTTAATTACAATATAATTAGTTTTTCTCTCAAACACAGTATGTTTGATTGCATAAAAAATACACAAAATACACCATAAACGTAAATCCGAATACTTAGTGTTGCCAAATTAAATTATTCAATTAAAAAAAAAAAAAAAAAACCTTTTCTTATTGGTGCCAGACTTGTTTTAATTATCCGAGCTTCATTCATTTTTCTCAGCTTTAAAATGAGATCGAATGGGAGGAAACGTTTCACATATTTCTGATGTGATCTGAATTTTGAAACTCAAATTACTAGGGGTGCAGCGGTTCAACTTACACACGGTTCGGTTTGTATCCCGGGTTTTAGAGTCACGGTTTCGATACGGTTCGGTATGTGCTATGTTTAGGGAAAAAACTATATTGTCAAATAAAAATAAAGAAAATAAGAACAAATAATCTAACTACAAGCAACAGCACAAATAAATAAACAGTGAAAAAAGATACAAATAAAATAAACAGTGCTTTTCCGTTTTTTTTAGGTAGGTCTTACATAGTTTTATGTACAAAAATTGAATAAATCAAATGTAAAATAGCATTGCATATTTGACTGTATAAATTAAAGGTTAATCCTTACTAAAGTTACAAAAGTGATTCAATCAAGAGCAGTGAGAGATTTCCGTGTTGTTGCTGTTTGATTAACATTAAGAAAGTGCTGTCACTTTAAGAGAACACACTGATCCAGTGCACTGATACTTTACGTTCAGCCGACTATGTCTGCTAGGATACTCACCAAGACGGGCATTTTGACATAATTTTTGTGTGAATTTGTCCATTCAAACACAATACTTCACAGAGAGCTTAATATTTGAGCGCGTTCTGAGACGCGGGTTCACGCGCTTCTGGATCTTTAATATTTAAACTGGCAAGGCTTAAATGAGTTTAGTTTAAACACAGATAGCAACGTGTGCTGTTCTGGTCTCACCTGCGCTATCAACACGTGATGACGGCATAAATGACAGTTATTCCAGCATAAAGCACTCGCATTGATTAAAGAGCGACTGGTTTGTCCAAGTATTGTTTTTTTTTCTCTCTCATCGCTCTTGTTGTAATGTATTGGGAAGCCAGAATTTGCATCCATCAACAGAAACATGCATTAGCCGAACTCTAACAAACCATATTACAGATGCATTGTCAGATTTAAGTTGAACCGCGGTCCTAGTGTATGCCGAACCATGTGTGGAGAACGGTACGGTTCGATTTTTTACCGAGAACCGTTGCACCCCTACAAATTACTAAGTGCATGTTACAGCTAGATGCTTAGCAATGGACACCCAATCGAGTGACTTGTGTTCTTGTGCTTTGGACAGCCATAGAAACACTGCGTGTTGTATAAACTGTAGTTTCAGTGTTTGAGGAGAAAAATGTCAAATGGTGATGGGAAACGCATCAGTTGGAGCGAAGAAGAGACCGTTTTATTCTTACAGTTTATTTTCTTATTATTATAGTCCAAAAAGTATGTTCAGGAAAAACCCGACAGTATTTACCCAGGGTTTAGGAATGTACAAAGTGAAACGTCAGCTTACGAATACCCAAAATAACCCCAGGCAAATTATAAGCAGTGTGAAGCGTGAAGCAAGACAACCCAGGATCTTTTTGCAGCATGTCTTACTTTTCACAATGCCCATGCAGAAGATCACAGTCTGATAACAAGAAAGTTGCAATTAATATGGACAACATCAAAATTTGAAGTTCTACCCTGAATGTGAGATTTCTGGACGCTAAATGTAGGGATACATCCAAAGGCCTCTCCAGACTGATTTTACTGGTGCCTGTCAATACCCGTTGCTGCGAATATGTAATGCTGAAGTCTTGTCCATATCAAGTAACTGTAAAGTGATTGCTTTTCTCACGTTCCAGCAGTTTTCAAATTGCATAACAAATGCACACCTTTCATCTGAAAATAGTCATAAGTTGTCTGCCCTTCTGTAGCTTCCTTTCCATTTCTTTCTCTCTCTTTTTTTAATGTAGTCTTTTATTTAGTCCATGACTCATCTCTGCACCACAAACTGTATTGACAGGGAATGCTAACAAGGAAGACACAAATAAAGAACATTTCTCATTTTTACAAAAGTCTTGTGAAATTTTATTTCCATGAATAACATTAATATAACTATGAAATGCTGACATGATGCCTGTATCAGGTCCAGCATGACCCCCTCACCGATGCTTGATGACTGCATGGACCACTTTGAGAAACTATGATTGATCATAGGGACTTCGAGAATACATGAATGAACAACCGCCAGTTATCTCTTTGACCACCTCAGAAAACAATATGGGATGGACCTTATAAGCAATTAATTACATATTGATCAATATCCTTCAGTTACATTGACTAAATATATCTGAGTTTCCCTAACTAATATATGACTCGTACTTGCATTCCTGTAGCTCAAACAGTGGATACCTTGAATGAAATGTCCCTTTGGATAAAAGGATCTGGCAAATGTGTAAATGTACTCAACCTCTTCCCCGAATATTAGGGGTGTGAACCTACACTGGTCTCACGGTTCGGTTCGGTTACGATTATCATGTCATCGATTCGGTTCAATTCGATATCATGATGCATCACAATGCATTGACAATGCAATGCATCCTCAATTTTCAATTTTACTTCACATTTATACAATTTTGTCAATAAATACAAGCAGTCAGATATATGAACTGTACCTGA